CCCTTAGGAAGAAAGCTGAAGCGATGGTGCAGGCCGCTCACGAGGAAAAATTATCTGCTGTTAAATCCCGGCTTGCGTATTTCACCTTTGTTGATCCAGAGGCGTAATCATGTACTGTTCTTTTCCTTCTTTGTTTGAGAAGAACATGGCTTTTGTATCGCTCTTTAATATTCCTGATGATAATAGAAAGAGTGATTCTGTTTTGTCTCTTTTCATTGCATGTGTCGTGTTCTGACTTGCAACGATGGAAAAATACCCAATATTTAAAAATTCCTTTATTACCATTTAAGATAATTATAGAGAAACTTTAACTTGTTTGGGGGGGGTATGAACACTAGTTATTCCGTTGTAGAAGAATTAACTGGTTCAAACGGGTTTGAACTGTTAGAGGTGGTTGGTTAACATAACAGAGATTTGAAGATCTATTGACCTATTGGGAATAGTCAACAGATTAATTTTTGTAAGTGGTATGATTTTACTCCGACCCGCGAGCGATCGCAATCAGAGTAATTTGAGGGCTTATCACTCTATTAGGGAGAGTTGATAAGTGGATTTTTGTCAGAGGTGTAGTGTTAACGTGACAAGAAGAATATTGCTATGGAAGCAATTTTGAGGACTTATCGCTCTATTGAAGAGAGTCGATAAGTGAATATTTGTCAGAGGTGTAGTGTTAACGTGACAAGAAGAATATTGCTATGGAAGCAATTTTGAGGACTTATCGCTCTATTGAAGAGAGTCGATAAGTGAATATTTGTCAGAGGTGTAGTGTTAACGTGACAAGAAGAATATTGCTATGGAAGCAATTTTGAGGACTTATCGCTCTATTGAAGAGAGTCGATAAGTGAATATTTGTCAGAGGTGTAGTGTTAACGTGACAAGAAGAATATTGCTATGGAAGCAATTTTGAGGACTTATCGCTCTATTGAAGAGAGTCGATAAGTGAATATTTGTCAGAGGTGTAGTGTTAACGTGACAAGAAGAATATTGCTATGGAAGCAATTTTGAGGACTTATCGCTCTATTGAAGAGAGTCGATAAGTGAATATTTGTCAGAGGTGTAGTGTTAACGTGACAAGAAGAATATTGCTATGGAAGCAATTTTGAGGACTTATCGCTCTATTGAAGAGAGTCGATAAGTGAATATTTGTCAGAGGTGTAGTGTTAACGTGACAAGAAGAATATTGCTATGGAAGCAATTTTGAGGACTTATCGCTCTATTGAAGAGAGTCGATAAGTGAATATTTGTCAGAGGTGTAGTGTTAACGTGACAAGAAGAATATTGCTATGGAAGCAATTTTGAGGACTTATCGCTCTATTGAAGAGAGTCGATAAGTGAATATTTGTCAGAGGTGTAGTGTTAACGTGACAAGAAGAATATTGCTATGGAAGCAATTTTGAGGACTTATCGCTCTATTGAAGAGAGTCGATAAGTGAATATTTGTCAGAGGTGTAGTGTTAACGTGACAAGAAGAATATTGCTATGGAAGCAATTTTGAGGACTTATCGCTCTATTGAAGAGAGTCGATAAGTGAATATTTGTCAGAGGTGTAGTGTTAACGTGACAAGAAGAATATTGCTATGGAAGCAATTTTGAGGACTTATCGCTCTATTGAAGAGAGTCGATAAGTGAATATTTGTCAGAGGTGTAGTGTTAACGTGACAAGAAGAATATTGCTATGGAAGCAATTTTGAGGACTTATCGCTCTATTGAAGAGAGTCGATAAGTGAATATTTGTCAGAGGTGTAGTGTTAACGTGACAAGAAGAATATTGCTATGGAAGCAATTTTGAGGACTTATCGCTCTATTGAAGAGAGTCGATAAGTGAATATTTGTCAGAGGTGTAGTGTTAACGTGACAAGAAGAATATTGCTATGGAAGCAATTTTGAGGACTTATCGCTCTATTGAAGAGAGTCGATAAGTGAATATTTGTCAGAGGTGTAGTGTTAACGTGACAAGAAGAATATTGCTATGGAAGCAATTTTGAGGACTTATCGCTCTATTGAAGAGAGTCGATAAGTGAATATTTGTCAGAGGTGTAGTGTTAACGTGACAAGAAGAATATTGCTATGGAAGCAATTTTGAGGACTTATCGCTCTATTGAAGAGAGTCGATAAGTGAATATTTGTCAGAGGTGTAGTGTTAACGTGACAAGAAGAATATTGCTATGGAAGCAATTTTGAGGACTTATCGCTCTATTGAAGAGAGTCGATAAGTGAATATTTGTCAGAGGTGTAGTGTTAACGTTAACTATAATTCATGTTTGTCACAAGAGTTAACATGTTATACACAATAGTTAACATGTTTGCCACAAGAGTTAACATATAGCCACAAGAGTTAACATGTTATCTATAAGAGTTAACATGTTATCCACAAGAGTTAACATGTTAACTATAACAAGAGTTAATATATAGCCACAAGAGTTAACATGTTATCCACAAGAGTTGACATGTTATCCATAAAAGTTAACATGTTATCCACAAGAGTTAACATATAGCCACAAGAGTTAACATGTTATCTATAAGAGTTAACATGTTATCCACAAGAGTTAACATGTTAAACACAAGAGTTAACATGCTAACCACAACAGTTAACTGCACAGAGAACAACATCAAACTCCTTCTCAGTTCAACTGGAGCTTACATGACAACAAACAACAGCAGACACAAGAAATCACCATCACAAATTTGTACAACAGCAGACACAAGAAATCACCATCACAAATTTGTACAACATTTATATATACCACACATTGAGTTTATTACTTCTTTCTTGATTTTGATATACATCCAAGCCCCAACATGTTGAGATTAGGGGATCCTCACATCTTGAACTGACCCATAAATACTATAGAATATAACACGAACCCAAATCAGTTTTAACCCCAAACAACAATTGTCAAACCATCAAAAAGTTCAAAAAGAAAATTTCCCGTAACCTAAAATAATTGGAGACATCCTCTTCTCTGAAAGTGTTATCATCAGGAAAAGTGTTATCAAACCAACAATGACCACAATGCATTCCCAAAATCCCACCATACAATTTGCAATATCAATAACAATCAAACTGCACAGAGAACACGTCGATCTCGTCGCCTCGTTGGTTCGTCGGTTTGTGCCGAGCTGAGCTAAAGGACCTATAAGCAATTTTATATGCTTACAGTTTCGAGTGAGGTTAGAGAGAGGGTGGAAGAGGAGATGGGTTTGTAGGAAGAGGAGTAGATCTAGAGAAGATCTGGAGAAGAAGAAGAGGGTAGTTTGAGAAGTTTTTGTCTTGGAAATTGTAAATGGGGCTGATTCACATGGATTTTTCATTTTTGGGGAAAAAGCACATAAGAAAAAGTTCAAGGGGCTGGGACACATCACCAATTTAGTTTTGGGGCCTTGAAGCAATTTTCCCTAGTTTATAATGATAATAAAGTTTATAGATATATTATAATTTATTATAAATAGTTATCAATTGTAATGAAATAGTAAAACTATTTATTTAATAAATTATTTATACATTTCCTCACTTTTTTGAAACCTTTGCTCACACTATTAATTTATTATTTAAGTATGTTATTTCATTGAAAATTTAAATTTTATCACTAATTTATCTTCACATAATATTTAAAATTCTAGAAAAATTAAAAATAAAAAAGTTCATTAGGCTTATACTTTATGCCTTGGAGTTTCACCTCTTATGGAGGACTACCTGTTACCTTTCTTCTTATTAGCCTTTTAAAAGTATGATAATAGTATGAAAAATAATTTGTATTTATTGTAATTATAATGATATTAATAGTATAATGATATTAATAGTGTTTTTTAAATTAATAAATTATACTATAATTTATTACTTAAACAATTTAGTAAATTATTTACTAATAGTATAATAAACTAGTTATTAAAATAAAATATAGTTACTAATAGTGTTATAAGTATGCTATGTATAATATTATTATATTTAAAAGAGAAGAAATTATTTAATATATGATAATTATTTTAATAAATTATGAATAAATTATAATAATTATCTAAACTATAATAATTAACCATACAGTTTTTTATACATAGTTCTATCATGTAACTTATTCATTTAAACAAAATTGTAATTGTTCATAATTTATATTACTATGCAAGTTATTTTTTATTTTGCAACCAACAAAATAAATGAAAATATAAAAAAAATAAGTATGCTCTCGTGCAAATGTGCACTATACTATAAATTAGGGATTGATTCTTTATATTGTAAGAAATATTACCTTGTTTGACGTTATAATATCATCTTAGTAATAAAAATTAACATTATAAATTAAAAATATTTTTATTTAGGAAAATTGTTTTATATAAAAATATTAGATCCTTGAAATTTATGAGACATGCACTTTTTGTTGGAAAGTAAATGTCTCATAAATTTCAAGGATCTAATATTTTTATATAAAGTATTTTTCCTAAAATACGAGCATTTTCAATTTACAACATCTAGTTTTTTTATTACTAAGCCGATGTTAATCATAAAACAAGATAATATTCTTTACAACATAAAGTCATATAATATTAAGAATTATTGCCATTGTTTAATTAATGTTGTAGTAAAATATCTATATAGCATACTTTTTTAATAATATAAATGATTTAATTATTTCAATAGTGTTACTTAAACTAATAATTACATAATTATTTAATAATTATACTCCTAAATAAATTGTTTAATAACATAACAATAAGCAAATTTAAATAACTATGAAATGTATATTAATAATGGTATGAGTACTAATAATTATAGTATAACTTATTTTTTTAAAAAATAGTGTATTAAAATAAGTTATAATATATATATATATAATTTATTATATAACATAATATTAAATATACAAAAATATGTCCATGTGCAAAGTGAGTGGATTATACTAGTCTACAAAAGGGTAGCAACCACAATAAACAAATTGCTTATTAGACAAAAATCACTATAACGTTACTTCAGCATCAATTTAGAACACAAATCAGAAGCTTATAAAGAAGAGACAAGAACATCACTATGCAAACCAGTTTCCTTCCGCACTAGTGAAAAAAACTTCGGAAATTTACAATCAGAAGGGCAAAATTATGATTGCTTAAAGACTTTTCTTTAGCAATCAAAACCCTTACAAGAGGCAACAAATTAAGCAGATTTCTCATGATCTTTACTCAAATGAAGTCACTGTTTGATGAACAGAATGAATACATAGCCGCTGAGATTGGGAGATGCGTCTTCAATCTCTGTTGTATTGATGTGAGGATGCTGAATCGATGGGGTGCAAAATATAGTTAATTAGACGAGGGAACAAAAGTCCTGTAAATGTATGCCCAAATCATCCAGAACCCCGAAAAGCCTGAAAAAGAAGCGGGTGTTGTTAAATTGAATACAAATATAACCTAAGAGAATAAACACGGTGACATGATTATTACATGAAAGTAAATAGTAAACAATACTGTCTCATACGAACATAGACCTACTGCAGAGATCATTCGATAGTGATCATGATGGATCTTCTGACTTTTAACATTTGCGTGTAAACCGGTTTCTTTTGATATGATGATCGACAGAATTATGATTTATTCAGTGTATTTATCAAGATTTCTATCTTTTAAGATTTATCTAGGTCTATTTATTGGATTGAATATGATCCATGTAATTTGTTTGCATTAATACCCATTATACTATTTACCTTGTCCTCCATCACTCATGCTGCTCCCTATTGTAATACAACCTACCTCAGAATGCAAAGGTTCTAAAGTATATCTCACAGGAGAATCACTATAAAAATTAAAAAGTACCTTGAATTCCAGGTAAAAATCAAGATGTAATGATAGAAGTTGTCATGAACAAAAAATTCAACCCTATACAAGCACTTATTTAGAAACTCAAATTGTCAAACAAAGGTAGATAAATTTATAAATGTAAATCTGTCATTTGCCTCTGCAGCTTTGTGTGAAAATTAACAAGTAATGTAATGGCATATCAGCTTAATATAATAATATCTTGAGAAAGGGAGAAAAGGATACATGACTAAAATTTAAGTACACGAACCTAATATGATCAATACAACCAGTATCACCGACATTAACCTCACGGCAAACCGGTTGAATGGAATAAGTTTCCGAGATGCTTTTGACCTCCTCTGGTTAAGTTCAATGCAAAAGAATCGCATAGTATTTATCAACCATTCAGGAAGTATTCCCTGCCAAACACAAAGAAAGAGAAAAGATTTCTTTTTCACATGTTACATCTCACGCAAAAATCACATTTGCAGCCTCATATTCAATCACAGTTATACTCCGAACGTTTAAGCTCAGTTATATCCTTCATGTAATCATCTTACTTTTTAAACCATGCTTTTTGCAACCCAGTAAGTGGTGTTGTTAAAGCAACCGCAATTGCACACCTATAATCATATAGACACAGCTATAAATATTGTTCAATATTAATTTAAGGAACCGTATTAATCCCAGTTTTTCAGGAGCAGAATTTTGGTTGAAATTCCTACCGACAGAAATAGGTTTCCAAAAGTTTAACCAGTTTACAATTGTATAGAATTATATTCTGAAATAAGAGGGTGGTAAATGTTGTGGGTTTGAGAATCATGATATCCAAATGGATATTGGAACTAATATCATTTGCTTAATCAATGTCCCAATTGAAATAAATGCAGATCAGTACCTGTTGATCTTGAGATGCGAGACTACTTGAAGATGCAATTCTTTTATCAACATCTTCAATTATGCCTGTTATCTCACCGTCCTTCCTCCTCTTTGTAAAGCTATCTTTACTATCATTTCCAGGCCAAAAGTTCCTCAAGAAACCCCAAGTAGATCCCGTTATCAAATTCTGATAAGAGTACTTTTTTACTCCCAAACCACCAAATTCCAGATCATAAGTTGCAGGCTTCTCAAGCTCCTGTTGTCTCAAGGAACCATGAATAATATTCATATTTTTTGTACCGTTCATTGGCAAGGCTTCAACCTTGTCAAGCTTTAGCTCAACAATATCATTGGTGTCTGTGTCTGAATCAATACTTCTCATGATCTTACTTCCAGTGTTATAGTTTGAACTGTGATCTCGTAAATTACTCCCAGAAAGAAATGATGTTAACATGTCTTTGTCCTGTTCATCTAAGTTCGTCCACTGAGGATAGCTCCTCGGGTATTCTTTTGATGAGTCCTGCACACTTTTTTCCACTTGAAGTATTTGTTCCCTTATTGCTCTAATAAATTGTTTGTGCTTCAATATAGCAATTTCTCGTGACTTAGACTCATCTGATAATGCAGCAAAATTGACTTCTCTCTCAAAGTCTTCCAACTGAAATAATTGAAAGCAAATTCCATTAAAGCCAATTGAATTACTTTTAATAGAAAACTTGGAAGATTTATACTTTACCTGCCATCGTGTTGTTTCAAGAGCAGTTGTAAGATCTCGTCTATGAGATTGCAGTGAGCTAAAAAGCTTACCATCTGAAGGGTCATCTAGTGCAAGTTTCTGTTCATGCAGCAAGCTTCGATAAACAGACTCCATCCTAATTTTTCAAAGGAAAAAAGTCATTTTGTTTTTGTTTTCACCAGTAAATAAAATAAAAAAACCATGTGAATGTGCTTACAAGAACCGTATGTTTTCAAAATAGCATCATCTAAGATGCATATTTATGAATGTTTTAGGAAAAAAAATAAAACGGGCCAAGTTATGAACCAAAAACCACAAACATGTGGCTTAAACATAGGAGTAGTGCTGAAATCAAAAGCACAAGGTTGCGATAGGTTGTGTAAAGGCTGCTTTCCAAGTGGAGGTTCTTTTTCTTTCCTATCCTAATTCTTGCACCAACTTCTTCTTAAAAGACCAAAGGTCCTATTGTTCGAAAGCAATTTTTATAGTTTGATTAGCGAACTCATATTATAAGTTCCCATGTCCTTGTTTAGAAAGCCATCCGGATCATCAGCTACTTGATTTTAAAGTTCTTTTTTGAGATAAACTGTGAAGCATAGCTCCCCAGTGTCTCATTATAAAGAAATTAACAATTGATTTTAGAGGACTGAACTTTTTCTTTTCTAAATTTTCTCTTGAACCGACTACATAAATTTTAAACCTTCTATTGACACTAATAACTTTTTTTGACATAGATGAAGCCAAAACAACCCTAGTACAAAACTTCAACACATGTTAAGACGAGTCTTATTCAACACATGTTAAGACGAGTCTTAACAACATTTTCTTCAATTAGCCAAGCAGAATATATTTTCTCACGATTGAAATGCATCACATAATTTTGATCTAGTTCAATTCCGTTCTTGCAATGCTAAAGCAGTCAAAAGTTTAATGATCTTCCCTTCCCTTTCTGCTCTGCTAACTTTCTAGACGATTAGCTCAGAGAACCTGAGAACCTACTACGAAAACAGATCAAGTTGGAGTTTATTCACACATGAGATTTCTTGAAACTGCTCAGTACAAAGGAGCCTAATTTGTGCTGGCTACGAAGAAGAGATAAAAGGACAACCAACAGAAGATGCTCAAGTGAATGTTCTCCTTCTTCCCTTCTACATGTTGTGCAGAAACGAAGAAACCTACACTTCAATTTGACAACTTCGTTCGACATGGAAAAGTAATTACTGTTTTCACCATCAAATTACGAGTTCAAAACAAGGTAATGGCTATCGTGACAAACGACGATATCTTCTTTCTCACCTAAGACATCCAACGAGTTTACGGTTGTATGAAATTGTCTGTAATAGCTATGATAGGAAATTGTTCTATCGGTATGTGACAATAGCTATTAAGGGCCCGTTTGGTTCGCTATTTTGAGCCGTGGAAACGTTTTTCTCCTCCTGACATCCGCTCCACATCGACAAAACCCATTCTAGGGTTTTCGTTTCCCAGCTTTGGTTCGCTTCTCCCCCTCGTCCCTCCAACCGCGGAAATCCCCTCCACATTGGATTTTTTTCTTCGCCCCATTTCCTTCGAAAACGAGAGGAAATCGCCCACGATCTGTACTATTGTCAGATCTCGGATAAATGGGGGGAAACACGGTTGAGGGCTAGGGTCACCTCCTCTTTCCCCCCTCGCTTTTTCACTCTTCGCGCCTTGGGTTCTCTTCGTGGCTTGCAGGAGTTCTCTTCGTGGCTTGCGGGGGTTCTCTTCGTGGCTTGCGGGGGTTCTAAACTGTTGATTTTGTCCGATCTCGGGATTTCGTGGCTTGCGGGAGTTCCTATTTGTTGGTGTTTTTGTTGGATTTTGCTAAAATTTGGGGTTTTTTGCTGGATTTCGTGGCTTGCTGGATTTTATCAGCGCCTCTATTGGGAAAAATTTGGGGTTTTTTGCCGATTTTGATCTTCCTGGAAACTGATTTCAGACCTAATGTATGATTCTCAACTCAGAATTGATTTGTTAAAAATTTTGTATGATTTGAATTATTTAGGATGAAATTTTGTATTTTCTATAGTTATCTAGAAATTAACAGAAATTTATCTAAAAATATAATTGTAATTAACTAAAAATATTCCTTCAAATATTATTATAATTAAGTAAAAATTATATTAATTATTATAAATATAATTGAAAAGAGAACAGAAATGAACTGACAATTATCTTAAATGGTCGTAAAAGAAACTGAAAATATTGATGAAAATATTAACTGAAAATTAACTTTAGATCTTGTTATGTGTCATTTAAGTTTTGATTATTGACATTGCATATGAATGCTTGGTAGGTATATTAATTATTTCAATTTGATTTTTGCATCGTAGATGGATGGTGATGGGGATTGTACCGATGAACAAAGTGTTGTTAATGTGGTTCAAGGTGCAGCACTATATGTTCTTGTTATAATAATTACATTCATAAGGAGAATGCAAGCTAGACGTAAACTATACGTCGTGGTCCAAGTGAGGAAAAAAAAAAGACAAGAGAGGTCTAGAATTGAACATATAGAGCGTATTTATAATGGTTTTAGTGATAGTTGTGTGAATTATATTAGAATGCGGAGTGGTGCTTTTGTTAAGCTAGTAAGTATAATGAGGAACAATATGCTTCTAAAAGACTCAAGGAATATATCAGTGGAAGAACAACTTATCATGACACTAAATATTTTGGGTCATAAATCTAAAAATCGCATTATGAGATCTCATTTCATAAGATCAGGGGAGACAGTCAGTAGATATTTCAATAAGGTTTTACAAGCAATTATCTGTTTGCGTGGACGCTACATGAGACAAGCCATCAATGATACTCCCCAATAGATCGTTAATAACCAGCTATACTATCCTTATTTCAAGGTATATCTACATTTTAACCACAGTTACATGTATAAGCAATGAAAATAAATGATAACTTAGTAATGTGATACACGTATTATAGGATTGCATTGGTATGATAGATGGGACTCATGTTGATGCAATGCTTCCGATTAATCTTGTTGCACGATTTCGAGGCCGCAAAGGTGTTACACAGAACGTGCTTGCAGCTTGCACCCCAGACAAATTGTTCACATATGTCTTAGCAGGTTGGGAGGAGTCTGCAAATGATTTTAGGATTCTCCAGGATGCATTATCTAGACCACAGCCACATGGCTTGAAAGTCTATGATGATAATTATATAAAAATTTAACTTATACTATTTTAAATTTAATATGCAAAATTGACTTCTTTAACAATTGTTTTAATAAAATTGTAGGCAAATACTATCTGTGTGATGCTGGGTACCCTACCATGTCAGGTTTCATATCTCCATACCGTGGTGTTCGATATCATTTGAAAGAACATTCGGGTAAAACACCTAAGAATAGAAGGGAATTATTCAATTTAAGATATTCTTCTTTGAGGTCTAAGATTGAATCTGCATTTGGCACATTGAAGAATCGTTTTAAGATTTTGTGTTAAGCCGCATTATCCATTTCCTACACAAGTAGATATCGTATTGGCATGCACGATACTTTATAATTTCATCGCAACTGTTGACCCAAGCGATGAACTACTCAGCGAGTCCGAAATTGATGAATATATTGATGGTGAGGTGACAAATGAGAATGATAATAATTTAGTTGATTTTACTCAGACTCAAACCCAAAGAGAACAAACTGAATCAAGAAATGAGTGGAAGACCCTTAGAGATAACATTGCTTGGGCGATGTGGGTGGACTATTGTGATAAGTATAATCATGGTGTAACTACTGAGACTTAATTCTCATATTTGTTGTACTATTTATGCTCATGTATGTAGTGACAATTTGATGGTTTGTCCACTTTTTAGATTTTGCTTTTCATTCATGTAGTCATGTTCTTATATTTTGCTTTGCAATATCTTTCATGTATTCATGTTCTTATATTTTGCTTTGCAATATCTTTCATGTACTCAATTTGTTCTTATTGACTTAATTAGTGATGACTGATACTCCTAAAGGCAAGGGTGTAGCGTCATCTCAGCCTCCACCCTCTCAACCCCCTCAGTCATTGCATCAAGGCGATAGTGGGTATTTTCCTTTTCAGCAGTCATACTTTGGGCAACCACCTCATGCATTTCCCAACATGTCATTCCATGATGGCAGTTACTTCCCGATGCACCCTCATTTTGGGTCATACACGAGCATGCTAAGTTCTCCTACTTTGCCTACACAATTCCATAGTCCTAATATTAGTGGGGTGCAACTTTCTCCCACTAGTGGTTATGGCTCAACTCCCGAATCAGGTTCCAAACGGGTTCATAGAAGGAAAGGAAGAAACATCACCAAATCCAAAGAAGAGGAGGAAAAACACCTCAACAAATAAAAAAAATAGTGAGACTGGAGGCCTTAAAGGTAACAAACATATGTTTTGGGATTCCCGTTACGATGATGAGCTCATTCCATTTCTTGCCGACATGGTAAGAAAGGGTTACAAATCCGATAAAAACTTTAAGAGAACCGCTTTTCATATGGCTTCCCAACATATTAATGAGAAGTTTAACACATTATTCAAGTGGGAAAATGTCATGAACCGCATCAAAACTTTGCGTACAAGATTCCGTGATATGGAAACATGTCGTAATCTTAGTGGTGCCGGTTGGGATGAAAGCACCAAGACTGTCATCATGGATCCTGAATGTTTGGATAGGTGGATTGAGGTACATAAACTATTTTTACATAACCCTTGATTACTTATCTTATTTACATGTTTTCATTAAATTAATTCAATTATATTTTTCAGGATAAGAGCTTTAAGAATGCTAAACTTAGATAATATGTCAATAAACCCTTGACTCACTACGATGATCTTTTCCTTATCATCGGGGATGATCAAGCTAGAGGAGAATTTGCATGTGATGCTTGGAAAAAATTTAGTCGTAGTGAGTCCATAAATCTTGGAGATGATGCTGACCCGCCTTTACCTGCCTCACAATCCCCTCAAGTACACATTTTAGATGAGGAGGACACTCCTCCGTCTAAGGAAACACCCGCCATATCAAGTTCTAAAGCAAATGTATGTGTTGCTAAGGGAAAGGCTCGTAGGAACAACCTAGAAGATGAGCTCATGTTAAAAATGGTGGATAAGATAGATGTATTTAGCGTAAACATGAAGTGTGTAAATATGCATTGGACCGAGAAGTTATCCACGGTCATATATGCTCATTTACAAGATTTTAGTGTTGAAAAGCTAGATACATACTACCGACACTTATATTTGAATGAGCATGAAGCAAGACTATTTATGGGCATATCATCGGTTGGTCAAAAAGAGATGATTGCTACCTTTCTCAACGAAGGGGGTTGAAGACCGATAGAAGAAGTCTTTAAGTGGTATTTTATGATTCTCATTTCTACCATACTTGTGAAATCCACTTACTTTTGGTGATAATGTTTTTATTGTGTTTGTGGAACATTATGATGATGGAACATATTGTTGTAATATGTAGTAAGTATTTATTTGCTTCCATTTTGTAATATTTATCTTCTATGATTAATATCATTTTGTGAAATACTAACTTTTGTAATTGAATTTGTGAATGCAGGATATTTCCTAAGATGCAAGTAACCTACAATGTGTACACATTGTACTGGATGGCTATTACTCTGGGGCATTTAGGTATTTGGTTTTCGTTGGTGATTTTTTTATTTCTAGGCTATGATGATTGTTAATTTTTCTGAGATTAGCAACCTGCAATATCTATTGATATTGCATTGGATGGCTAACAATGATGATATTGATCAAGTTCTGAGCCCTAAGCTAAACACAAAATGTGCTCGGGATTGTTGGTAGTTGTTGTTGTTGGTTGTTGTTGGTGGTGGTTGTTGTTGTTGGTTGTTGCTGGTTGTTGGTTGGTCTGGTTGTTGGTTGGTCTGGTTGGTGGTGGTTGTTATTGGTTGTTGCTGGTTGGACTGGTTGGTGGTTGTTGTTGTTGGTTATTGCTGGTTGTTGGTTAGTTTGGTTGTTGGTTGGTTGGTGGTTTTTTGGGTTTGTTGTTGCTGGTTGTTGGTTGATCTTGTTGTTGGTTGTTCCTTCTGATTTTGTTCCTTTTGTTTTTGGTTGTTGGGTTTGTGATTTCATTCCAGGTTGCTAAAAGATGTTCTCGTTTGTTGTTGGGTTTGTGATTTCCTTCCAGGTTGGTTTTTGGGTTTGTTGTTGTGTCCAGGTTTGTGACAACTTCCAGGTTGGTGGGTGTTTCCTGATTACATGTTCTGTTGTTCAACTTCTCTTTGAGCTAATGTTTGTGCACACCAGTTTTGTGAGCTCTGGTTTGTGCTATGTTTTGTGCACATATGACATCTTCTCTTTTGCTCAAGTTCTATTTGAGCTCACTGTTTGTGGATGCTCTGTTGTTCAACTTTTATTTGAGCTCATGTTTTGTGGAGTTCTATGTGTGTTCAGATTTTCCGCACTGTTTGTTGATTATGATATTGTTTATAGGTGTTCAATTTAGGCTATGATGATTGTCAATTTTTCTGAGATTAGCAACCTGCAATATCTATTGATATTGCACTGGATGGCTAACAATGATGATATTGAACAAGTTCTGAGCCCACAGTCATAATTCACATATACATGTGGCTGATTTATTTGACATGATGTCAAGAAATATTTTCAAATGATTTTTTGCACATAAAGTTCAACATGCATAAATTATCAGGTTCGATGTTATTTGCTATGTTATATACTAAAATATGGCTATTCAGACCGTTTATATGTTTTTATAGGTTTCAGAAATTTTTTTGGCTAATTCAGGTACGTATTTCATAAATTTATGAATAATCAGGTTATTACAGGTCTTGTTTATTTTTTCTTGGAAAACAGGTTTTGTGTGATTATTTTCATCTCAAACAGGTATATTTCATGTCAAATCAGGTACGCAGTTCATGTTACAGTAGGTTTCAGATGATTTCAGCTTTCGTATGATTTCATTAATACAAACAGAAATTTATAATTCATTCGGGTTATTATTATTTGTTCATGATACATTCGCACTTTTATATGATTAAGATTACATCTCATAACTAGCACAAATAATTTTTGTCTATAGTGGGGGTAATCTTACCATGGTGACTCTAAACACTTTTTCCTACACACTTCAAAACCAACCAAACACAAGAAAAGTGGGAAATGTCAAATCAACAAAAAGTTTTCCCTTTTTTCTCATGCAAACCAAACACAAGAAAAGTAAAAACATTGGTTTCCCACCATTTTTTTGTGCGAACCAAACCAAAACAATCTATTTCTTGGAAAAGTTTGGAAAACTAAAAACTTGTGTTTCTTTACATGGAATTACATTTCCCTATATCTAGGAAACGAACCAAACAGCCCCTAACAAGAACAATAATAGTTCAACTCCCTCGGATCCTCTTAAGGGTCATTGACATACAATGAGTATGAAGAAAGAAAGTGGGTACTTGCAAGGACTTGCCCCATTACCACATTTGTATGTATCTCTAAAGATCCTTTTAAGGGTTATAGTAGTATTCATCTTCAACAATGTCGAAACTTTTTGCTACTGATCTGATTTATCAACTGGCAAAATCTGATGATTCTCATTCCTAGCTTGCTCAATGTGTAGTGTTTCCCTTTAAACAAATGGACAAATTTTCAAAACCAACCTATTTGGACTTTTATTCCCAAAAAAAGACCCGTTTCACATTTATTTAGAGAAACCGACCTGGTTTCAGCCTCAGCGCTGAAACCAGGTCGGTTTTTGAAAAAAACTCTCCGAAACTTCACGGGAGTTGAACTCCCGTGAAGTTTTTTGAACTACGAAACTTCACGGGAGTTCAACTCCCGTGAAGTTTCGGAGAGTTTTTTTCAAAAACCGACCTGGTTTCAGCACTGAGGCTGAAACCAGGTCGGTTTTTGCAATTATTTTTGAATGGGGTCGTTTTTTGGGAATAAAAGTCCAAATAGGTTGGTTTAGAAAATTTGTCCTTAAACAAATTCCTTATTCTTGAAGGAGGTGAATAAATAAATCCACAACATCAAGTTCTTACGCTCACAGGTTCCGCCAAGCAATAAAAAGAGCAAATTCCACTACTATTAAATTGGGGGAAATAAAAATATATTAGAAAATTAAAATAAAAGTAATTTATTACTAACCTGTCGGCAGAATCTTGAACCACTTCTGCAGCACAGAAAAGGGGATCTGACTCCCATCTGCTGAAGCTCTCCGCCATTCCCAATTCGATTCAACAATTTCAATTCAATTCAATTCATAGTCATGAAAATAATTTAAAAAAGATTCCCTTTTGAATTTTTTTTTTCCTAATGAAAACTACAAATCCATTTGAAACTAGTTCTTGTAGATTCTGGTTTCCAGAAATGGAATTAGAAGGCAGTTTCTCATCTGGGTGTGATCGGAAAAGAATGAAGAAGAAAAAGAAATTAATAATTTTTTTTGTTAAAAAGGGGAAAAGTAAAGAAAAGAATGTGACGGCGAAAAGGCCGTTAGTTTTGTCGTCTCAAAAAAAATGAGAAATTACATATATATTTTTAATGATTTCTTTTATGAAAACCAATAAAGTTGATGGTTAGAAATCCTGGCTGTCTCTTTGAAAAATGGAAATGAGGAGGAGTTATCTGGTCCATTGATTTTTGTCACGTGGTCGAATTTGCCCAGTCAAATTTTCACCACTTTACTCCTTCAGCCATGGGTTAGGTTATAACGCCTCGTTTGGTACGCGGGAATGGACAGACTTGGGAATGGAATGGAAGAAGGAATGGAATGGATTGTATGTGAGAATGGAATGGTCATTCTCATTCTCTTGTTTGAGTGCGTTCGTAGAATGAAGCTAGAATGGAAATCTCATTCTCATTCCCATGTTTGGTATCACTAGTACACAAGTGAGAATGAAATCTCATTTTCTAATAATGCCCTTACAACAACATAGATTTTTAATAAGATAAAAAATAAACATTAATGATAATAACTAAATAATTTTATATACGCATATGTTATATTAATCTAGGTATGTGTTATACTAATGCTCGTGTTATCCATCAGGTGTATGTTTCGTTTATATTTTTTAAACAATACTCGATATTTCTTAGTCTTAAAAATTAAAGAAAAAAAAAAGATTATCGTATCTTTCATAGGTCCAAAAAAAAAGAATGATATCCACAATCCACAGTTCTAGATATATAAATTAACTTATTTGATAAAGTATCAAAATCACTCAATTCATAATAGCAAAAATCCATAAAACAATACCAACTAAAATAATAAGTTTCGAAATAGCAAAATGATATACTAGCCTAAATTGTCAATCTAAAATTGTCCACTTGCATAGCGCCTCACCCAAACATTCTTTATTATTAATATGGATATAATTAAAAAATACCTAGCTAGTTTTTGATTCTCACTTGAATGGGAATGACCATTCCTTATCTTCTCACTTGGAATGCTCATTCCCACAAATAGTGGGAATGATCATTCCTAGGGAATGGTCATTCCAACATCTAAAATATAGGTGTGTTTGGTATGAGGGAATGGGAAGTGGGAATTGCATTCCATTCCTCCTCATTCCCGCGTACTAAACGAGGCGTAATAGTGCTTTGAGATCTGCAAGGATTATGTCCCCAGTGAACGTGTAATTAGGCACCTTCGGCTGGTTGCATTAGATAAATTATAGTTACCCCCATTTTGCACCTATATATCATCACTTATTTTTTAAAAGTACTTATATACCTTGAAATTTCTAATATTTGCACTTTGATATCTTATGATGTACAAACATGAGAATTTTCATCCAAAATTTCCCATGTGATATTCACAAAGATGGTTTTAGGATTTTTTTTAGCCCCTAATGTTTGATGGATTACTATTAAGCATAATTCTATTTTGAAATGTAATTGGGGTAGCTTTAAAACCTTGTATTTTGAAAACTATTTGAATTCCAGTATCATGAGATTTTAGACCTCTTAAGTTCTATGAGGTTTTACAGTCATTTGGAGGATTGCTGGGTTTTATTGGCTATTTGAGTGGTTTAAATTGTTAAGAGCTTGTATTTGTTAGAGGTCATTACTTATCATGATAATAACTCCCATAAAAGAAAAAGGAAAAAACTAGACTCACGAGCTCTGAAGATCCGAAATCTAGGACATTTACGGTGTCAATAACCACAAACAATAATTTAAAACATTACAACACAAAAATGTGTAACTTCTAAATATTACACAAGATCTACATGAAAGACGTTTTACCCAAAAGTATTTCCGCTAAATAGAACAATCAATATTGATTCTCATGATTGAAAACATGCATATTAACCGCCTTGACAAAAACTTAAGATTAAGCACTAAAAGGATCAAAACCAACTTAGAACAGATGCACAACCCATGTAAATGCAACATGATCATTCAATTGAAGGTGAAGAAAAAGATTTTTTTTTTTACATTGCTTGCATTGTAAAGATATTGCTCTAGAAAAAACTGTTATCTATTTTAGTCTGATAAAGCCTAAAGAAATAATGCATTAGTGTTAAGAGGCACAAATTCTCTCCTAGCTACAAACAAGAGCTCAAATACAAATTCACAAGATCTTAAAGACCTTGAAAGTATTCTTTCAAATTTACAACATTTCAGCTCCTCATACTATAAGCCTCAAAAACACTTAAGCCTCAGCATCTGGGAATAAACACCTGAGAAGAAAGAAAGAGGGTAAGAAGGGACATGAACAAATTTTTTGAAATCGAGAAATAAAATAGAATCTTTACTGAAAAGGAAGCTAAACTAATCATTTTCATTTGTAATTAAAACACCAGTTAGATACAATCATAATGAGTATCACTATCCTAATAAAAAACATGTAATTTGAAATCAGACATGGAACACAACATTCATAACAGACATCATAAAAGAGACATTTTCATTTGAATACAAGCAAGACTTATTTTCCCAGGATTAGGAAAATTCATAAACTAAAGCAAGCAAGGATCCTAGGTCACTTTCATGATCGTAGATATTAGAGAGGCATCACCACTTAAAGCAACAGCATAACTTCACCTTAACTAGCTCACCAAGTAAAAGAATAGCAGTCAAAAGATGAAACCTAAATAGGATAAGAGAGGGGTGGTTTTTTTCATTGTCATCGTCATCGTTGTTGTTGTGGAGGGTGTGTGTGTGTGTTTGTGTGTGTGTGTGTGTTGGGGGGACGGGGGGGTCGGGGTTGTTGTGCAGGTTCTTATTCTATATGTTTTGATTTGCACAATTTACTCTTCCACTTGTCACACCACACAAATGGCTTCAAGTTAAGTACCATGCTATGTAACTGTATTAAAAATTTGAGACACTTGTATCTGCATGCACATTTTAACTCGCTCAAGCGTGTATATCCAGTCTACCTAGTGGAGTTTGATTTAGAAAGAGTTAGTTGCAAATGGCACTCAAATAACCTAAAGTTTACTCTATTTGTAACTTTGATACCTCATAGCCTAAAGTTATTTTTTTTGCCCTAAAAAGACACAAAGTTACAACAAAACTTTACTTTGCCACACAGAGAGTTTTTTGCCCAAAAAATATCCCGAACATCAACAATTTTAATTTGATACCCCAAACTTCAATAGAAATTTAACTTTGATACCCTAAACTTTAACAAAAAGTTTAAGGTTGATGTATAAAAGTTAAATTTTGTTGAACTTTCAGGTACTTTTTGGGCGCTAAAAAAACCATTGGGATATCAAAGTTAAATTCCGTTGAACTTTACTTTGCATATCAAAATAAAAAATGAGGTACATTGGGGGTATTTACTAGAAGTTAACCCGTTTAGAAATACATTAAAGGACTTGATCTATCATCTCTCAAAAATAAATCGTGACATTGTCGAATATGATTGTTGACATAACTGTTATAGTAACTACTTCTTATTTAATAAAGGAAAAAGCTCTTATGAACAGTAAATCTGATCTAGACCAATGAGATTATTCATAAAAAATTATTTTTAAAAACCATCTTTATAGAAAAACTATGATTTGTCACAGTTTCAGCCCATTACCTACCTAACCCCACGTTTCATGAACGTGAACAACTTCTGCCTCCACTTCTGTAACTCCCACATCTCCCAAACTATCGCATATATATTGTAACCTGTTTTTATTCTCTACACCCAAATTGTCATGCATAATCCCAACAAAAATTCTTCAGACTAAGTGAACAGAGAAAGTCAAAGATGTGAAGGTAATATTTTTCCTCTTCACTTTCAAAATTCAAAATATTTAAATTAGCATGTTGCTGTAAATTTTTTGCATGTTGCTGTAAAATTTTTGACCATAAAAATCAAGATAACTGAGTTAATCCAAATCTATGACCACCAAAATAAGTAATTATAAAACTATGAATACTGGGGAAATAAAGTGAAAAGTTAATACAAGTCTTTGACAACAAAAAAGTTAGTTAATCCAAACATGGGTGGATCTATATACAGTCCAGGTGGGGCCAACCACCCCCCCCCCACCAAATTTTAGGGGAAAAAAGGATGGTTTATGTAAAACCTCCTCCCTTAAAATTTAAAATATATTAATTCTACATAATTTTTGTCTTCCTCTTTTAAAATATTTTGGAGATATTGACGTTGGCTATTCTACTCATTTTGTTTGGGTTGTGATGTATCACTTGTGAATAAAATTGCATTAAGAAAATTTTTCGTCTATCTTTTCTACGCGCCCCCCAGAACTGAAATCCTGGATCTGCCCTGAACTCTTGAAATATAGGTTTTCTTCCACCCCCGATACCTGAATCATAAAAAAATTGATCTCTCCATTGCGACCCCTCCATGCATGGAAAAGCATATAGCGTGAAGATCTCTGCTGCCGCAATTTCAAGAAGTGGGGATCGCGGGATAGGGAATGCCATTTCTTACAGACGTAGCGGAATTTTGCAAAAGATTTTGCAGTCAGCCTTGATAGTATATCAACCACAACCTCGATTAGTAGTAGAAACTTTGAGTAGCATTTTTTAGTTTTTTTTTTTGTTTCATGCTGTACACATGCACATAGTTACTCTTAAAACATAATCATTAGAATCAAAATCTAAAAAGAAAAAGATAAATACCTGAATATTGTTATTGTTCTCTTTGGTGATTCTCTGCTTCTTATTGGGGCCCTCTTCTTTTTGTGATGAGTTGAGTGTTGGAAAATTAACAGTACAACAAGACCTTTCCCGTCTTTGTGTTGAGATGAGAACAAAAAAATAGAAGAGAAACAAACAGAGAAATAGAGAGATCACACACACAAGATTTACCGATGTTCAGCTCAAATTGAGCCTACGTCCTCACCCGCCCCTTCTTCACCGTTTCCACTATAATCAAATAAAAGTTTACAAAGATTCTTCTCTCAAGTTGGTATAACTTAACTTGAGGATCACTTTCTCTCAAACTCACTTGAGGATTATAGATTTGTATGTGGTTCTTCTTCTTGCTTCTTGCTTTCAACCTTCATCATCTCCCCTCT